AATTATTCCAATAGCTATTGGAATTAATGGTAAATATTTAATAATAGTATTGCAAATTTTTATAATTATCTTTTAACTAACATATATATATTTTGTAAAGTACATAATATCATTGATGCAAATGTTTTTAGTATCTATCCTTTAATCTTAAATGGATATTTACTTATTTATTCTGACAAAAAACTTTGCATTGCTCAAATTATTTCTATGTATGAAAAGCGAAGTGAAAGACATGCTTGGATAAACAAAGAAGTTGAATTTTTGGATCACTTGTTTTATCTTTCGGTTAACCTTTATTTGAATGTTTATAATGATCTTTGGACAAATACATGTGAGGCAGAAGGAAAGTTAGTTTGTCATATTTCAGCAAAGGAAGTTTTATATTATTTTAACTTACCTTCTTTTGTCAATTCTCAAAGTTCTTTTTTTATTTTAACAAAAGAGGCTTTAGAAATTTTTCAGCATTTTAAAACACCTGAAATGTTATTATCTCTTACAAAGATTTTTCTTAAATAATGTATAATTTTGATTACTAAAATTATCTTTTTTTTACAATAAATTGTTCTTTTATTATAAATATGTTACCAAATTTTTATGGTTTGATTATTTTTAATTATTTATACTTACTGCCATTTTGATTCGCATAATTAATAAAATCATGTGGTTCGTAATCATATGATTTTTTCAAATTTTGGCGGTAACCCCTATTAGAAGTTTTCCAGGTCCTATTTTTATATATTGAAATAATTATTTATAAAAAAATTTTTTTATTTAGAAAAGCGAAGCCGTGAGATTCTGGAAAAAAAAAAAATAACGAATTTGGTTAGAAATTGGGCGTTCTATTGTTATTTAAAGATCGGTAATATACAGTTAAATTTGTGCAACATCGCAATTGTCCAGATACTTTTGACATTACTTATAAAAATCCTAATTGTCACATACTCTATGTCACCCCCTATATTTTTTAATGCTAGCCAAAATCTACAATGCCGGTTAGCATGTACATTAAAGACTGCACAAATGGGGTGTACGCTAAGGAATCCCATCACTAAGACTTGATAGCAGTAACATTATCAAAGCGTAACGTCACGAAATGGCTGGCATTAAAGTTTCCGGCCAGAATTAACCGTGACTTCTTGTGACAAATAACTGAATGACAAATAAGAGTTTGTTAACCTGAATACTTAGCAAAAATGAAAAAGTGGAGGGCATGACGCGGAGTGATAGAAAAATTTGTCACGAAGGTTGCGCAGGGAAAATCATTATCAAGTGACAAAAAATATATAAATCAATCTTGCTTGATCAAAAAAGAGATAATATTGGATCGTGACATTCGAAAAAAAAAGATTTCTATAATAAACGTGGTAAAGTAATTGTCATAAGACGTGTTGTTTCTTGTTTTTTTTTCAAAGAGAAATCAAAGCCCTTTCTTTTCAACATCGCCATTTTGTTTATTTAACACTGCCACACTTTGCCTCGAGTTAAATAAAGACACTGCCACACTGATGATCTCGAGTGGCACATCAAATATAGATATAGATTTTAGCAATCATATCTTGTGGTAGCCGGATTTATTTGCCGGTAATATTCTACCAATTGTCCAATTAAACAAAGCGATAATACTTTATTTATCATCCATTGTTGATTTTGTCAGAGATAAAATAGTTTTTTTTTCTTTCTTTACTTTTCTTTGTATTCCTTTTTTTTTATTTATTTGAAAGATATCAATTATTCATTACAAATCTTTTTTTCCTAAATTTGTAGTATCGAATCGATAAATGATACGTTTTGTAATATTAAAAAAAAAAAATCTACAATATAACAAAGCCTCTCTTTGCAAAATCTGAGCCTCAAAACGTGCATTTACTTTTCTTCTGCGAACAAAGGTTTTATTAACAAGGATCGTCAAGTTCAATCCTTGAACGAACAGGAACTAGGTAAGTTGAGTGAATCATGATATTTTCGTTAAACAAGAAGATGGCGTCAAAATGGAATTAGCAATTTGGCTTTAATTATCGCGCTCTTTTTATTTATGTAAATAATAAATTCGTTGATCCTCATTTAACGAACATATATAAAAATTTTAAAAAATTTCCTACTTGGCCATAAATCCTTTCCTTTATGGTTACACCAACACCCATCTCTCTTGTTGCGCCTCAAAATCGCCATTATCTTGACGCAAATAAGAACGACGTGTCGTAAAAGTAAACTCATTAGTACAACAGAGGGGGTGTCAATTTGCAATGAAACAAGAAAGATACGGTAAGGATATTGTTATTAAATCTGCTTTATCCAAAAAAAATAAAATAAAATAAAATAAAAATTTTATAAAGCTTCGCCACAATGATTTACGTAGAAAAAATTTATTGGGCTTTCCTCGCGCGGTGTTGTGGACCTGGTATTCTAATCGGTAAATATTTTTATTTTATTTATTTGCTACCACGAAATCGCGTCAATGATTACTTTTGATTTATTAAATGTATCAAGTTTAGTCACAAAAATAGATTCCTTCGGATATCTTACAGGCACTTCCATTTCCATTAAATAATGGGGTGAAATTTTATTTGGCTCCAATTGTCAATTCATTTCTTTTTTCTTATGGAATATCAAAATACCCCAGAAAACCTTCGTCGTAATTTACTTGCAAAACAATGGGAAGAGACTAGACGTACCATGGCATATTTTAAAATTCGTGCAATGGCAGATGCAGCAGAAAGGAAAGCCGTGATCAATATTGGAGATGAGAATAGTAATCAAAGGCAGGGGCCTATCGCTGGGCACCTGGTGAGACTTCTAAATGATGAGTCTAATAAATATTTGGAAAAATATGCTATCCAATGTCCATCGTATCAAAGGCTTTTACGTGAGAGAAGCCTTTTGACAGGACAAAATTGGATAGCATTCAAATCAAAATTAATTCAAGAATATCGCAAAATCGTTAATTTGGAAGAAAATAAGAAAGGTGAGATTTACTCTTCATTATAACGTAATAATGACGAAGTCAAAAGTGTAAATAAATATTCATCAACGATCTAAATCATTCGATCAACCTTTAGGCAACCATTTACAAATACCGAGCGATTTTGATAATTTTGAACAAAATAAGCAATTCTCTGAGAATCTTTCAAGCTTAACAAGTCCCTTGACTCCAAATTTGTATGAAGGATCGGAAAAGTTTAAGCAATGCATGATTAATTCAACCGATGTAATGCATCCATGGAATACTGGACAACACGATTTATCAACATCATATGGCATATCAAATACCTTACAAGCCTCAAGTTCATCCTTGAAAGCTTATTACATATACAAAAATTCCGATAATTCTATGCAATTAATTCCTTCATGGAATGAAGAAAATGCGTCGAGACAACAAGAAGTTTCACAATTCCAAACAACGAGTTTACCATGGAATGAATTTTCACCAAATAATATTGATTTGTTAAGCAGACAAATTATTATTATTGATAAGGTTTGGACTTTAGCAACGAACGTGACAACAACATCGACTTCATATCAACAAACTACTTTTGCTCCCAATATTCATGGAAATCCACCTCCTTTTCAATATTTCAATCCTAATTTTCCCTATTATATCGGTAACAATTCCAGAGATTTAGAAAAAAAAACATCAGTTATGAACTTATTGAGATATCTAAGATGGTGTCCATCATTTCTCAATCCACCGGTACAAGAATATTTACGGGACGAAAATTATGTTTATAAAATTTTAATTCCAAAACTTTACGATGAAGCATTTTTATATTATCAAAATCCAATTTCAACTGTTAAAGGAGCATTGATGAGAGGTTTCGAAAATTCTTATACATTTAGATGCTATAAGTGTAGGGTTTGGTTAGGTTTTTACGCAAATTATTCTTATATCAATATTAAAAAGCATTTGGCGGGTTTTCATAATATTGATAATAATATTGATAATTTTATTGAAGTTAATTTAGAATCTTTTCCTTCAGATTTCGAAAATCCTTTAGATGTTCAATCATGGATCAAAATCTCCAAACAGTAAATGATAATAATAATTTTTTTTTATTTTGATTTGATTTTTTTTTTTTTGTTTACCATCAATCCTTTTGAATAAAGAAAATTAGTTGCAATAAGATCCGAATTTATTAAATATGTTATAATGGTTGTAAGAACAAAATCATGCGAACGAACGCTCTAAATATGGAACATGGTTAAAATGTTTGTTCAACAACGCTAAAAAGTAATTCATTTCGATCAATCTCTATATGCCTATATTGAAAATACAAATGGTCTAAAAAAAATTTTTTTTTTAAGGGTTTAATTTACTATATAAGGAACGTAATGCATAGATCACACATAGGGGTAATCACTTTTTGTTACAAAAAAATTCACATGCTTGATTTTTTTCCTTATTTGTCATGTAACATCCAAAACACCCCTACCAGAATTTTATAGTAGAACAATATCAAAAATGTCTACAATACATGAAACTTTGGCGTAATTCCGTTAAAATGAAAATTCTTTTAATCCTGAATGGCACTATATGTTTTGCGACTAATTTATTATTGTTCATAATAAAAGAGGCGAGAGAATATTATCTATTGTTATCAAATATTATCCATTTGAAACCGATTATTTGTAATAGAAGTTTGTGATATCTACTCGAAAAAAAAGGTATAAAATCTCCACCAAGATTCATAACTTACCTTCTCATCAGCAACAAAATCGTATTCTAAAAAAGTATCTTAAAACTTGGATAACTTTGAAAGTATCCAAACAAGTTCCATTAGTTCCATAAACCTTTCTCAAAAGACAATCTCTTCACCCTTTCCTTAACCAACAAAATTCGATTTCTAAAAAAAGTATATAAACTCAAAACTTGGATAGCTTTGATAGCATCCAATCTCAAATTCCAGTAGTACAATAAACCTTGCTCAAAAGTCAATTTCTTTTAAAACTCTTCCTATAAAAAAAAAACGATTTTCTTAAAACTAATTACTCTTCTAACAATAAAAATGAATCCAACTACCTTCGACGCTAGTCCATCAACCGCTACTGCTGGAATTACAGACAAACCAAGTACAACTGGCACACCAAGTGCTTGTTCTATCATGTAAAACTCTTTTTCGTTTGGCAAGATGTCAAATTTGTTGGATATTAATCGAAAATAATAAAACACCTGATGCTTGTTCTATCATGTAAAACTCTTTTTCGTTTGGCAGGATGTCAATTTTGTTGGGTCTTATAAGGATATTAATCGAAAATAATAAATTTAACGAGTTCTTTTTTTTTTGTATTCATATATTTTCAAGAAATTGTATAATTCTTAATAAAATTTATTTCGTTATTTATTTTTAAGATAATTGGAATATTTTTTTTTTTCCAATAAATTTAACCAGTTCGATCATTTTAGCTAAAACTTTTAATTAAAATCGATATTCTAATGTTTTGCTGCGCCAAAATTTTACGACAAAACCAAACCATATATTTCAGGAAATGTTACCCAAATTTGATGAAACTTGGGTACAGATGAAACAAAAAAAAAAAAAAAAAAAAAAAAGCATGGAATAAATTTCATTATGACAAAATTAAACACAACATAACACCTAATGAAGGATGAACGAAACTGCTAATCATCTGTAAACAAAGAGTCAAAGAATTGCTTTGTGAGTTCCTAAACAAAAAAATGATTAAAACATAGTTGTTGCCTTTTTATATACATAATGTAAAAATATCAAATAATAAAAAATATCAATAAATATACCATGAAAAAGTTGAAATTTTTTTTTTTAAAAAAAAAGAAAAATCATTAATTATGCAAACCATAAAAATTTTATATAAAAAATTCAAAAAATATTGTAGAAAGATTGATCGTATAGAAAGAATTTTTATAAACACATACATTATTTATTTATCTGGATACTCAATTTTATTTTTCTGCTTTCTACTTTCAACAGGATTATTTCCAGTAAATGCCCTATCACTTTTATTATTAATATTCCCACTTATATCAGGAATAATTACTGTAAGGCATTTTTAAAATGTAACATGAATTCTCAAATGAAATATCAAAATCATACTCACTATTTTATGATTCATTTTTTTCGCATCTAGTTTACGAAAAGAACTATTCTTCATGGAATAGTGTTGTTAAATGTTCAAATGTTTCCAATATATACCGCAATATTTATGTTTTATACTCAATATAACATTTGTAAAGATATTCCGGCAGATTGTATTTTATCAGGAAATCCATTTTATCTCGTCATGTCAATTTTATTGTTTTACTTCTTAATTGTTTTTCAAGTACTTCATACTATCTTTTTATATAAGTTATGTTCAAGAAGGTAAATAATAAAATATATAATATCCGTCAATTTATGAGATCTTATAATTTAACCTAAATTTTATTTAGAATTTGGCCACTATTAAACGAATATAAATATACTAAGGATGAAAGGATAAAAAGTAAGCTACATACTTATATACAGGGTTGGGAAATTAGTACAGTTAGTACAGCTTAGTACAGTTTAGTACAGTTAGTACACATAATAATTAATATAAAATTTAGTACAGTACAGTACAAGTACAAGGTCAAAATTTGCCTAGTACATACAAATTTCCCAACCCTGACTTATATATATTATTGGATGGGGGAGTAAAGTGTTATTGCGCCAGTCCATCCTAATAGACTGACCAATAATATTATTTATCAAATGTATTTGTTATTTAGGGTTATATTATCGATATGCTTTGCAACTACCAATTTATCATGCAAAGACAATGATGTTAGGATTGTGGATTACTTTTTACACATCGATTAGGTGGGCTATAAAATATGATAGTTTTGTGAAACTTATAGAAAATTCAATCATTGAAAAGGACGTAAATAAATATATTGTGCCATTGGATTTGATATTTCTATTATCCTATTCAACTTGTATGCTTACCGCTGTAAGTAATCAAAAAAATTCAAATCGTTATATTATATTACTTGAGAGATATACTAAACGATTTTTTTTTAAAAAAAAAATTTTCAACTTGTTAGGTTAGAGAAGAATCAAAACTTTTATACTTGGTATACTTTGGAAATATTGCGGAAGCTCTATTGATATTATATATAACAAAGGAATACTGTGAAACTAGCTTGATATTTTGCTTTAGATATATAATGTTTTTTGATGTAATCTTTATTCTAGGTAGGTATTAATTATCAATAAACTTAGTATTAATTATATTAATTATATTAATCCTTTTTTTATTATATTATTATTTATTTATGATTTATCAAAAAAAAAAAAAAAAAAAAATAGCAACTATAAGTTTGATAATATTGGCTTTATCAACTTGGAACACTTATAAATGCCATAGAAATTTTGGGAAAAATCTAGGATTTTATTGTAAGTGTATATTTCAAATACTTTGCACTTTTATTTCGTGGTGGTTCTTTTTCAATTTCTAATCGAATCGATACAAATAATAGTAAATTATGAGCCATGTCCTCGTGAATTCCAATATGAAAATTATGGAAATAAAAGAAATAGATTAGCTAAGGGAAAAGATATTGAAATTCCGGATTCTGACGATTAATTTATAGTCTTTACCTTTTTTTTTTGTATAACATTTATCGTTTTAATAAAATTTTTACTTAATCAAAGTGTCATGGAGATTTGTTTTTTGAAAGACTCTTGTGCTCAAAAAAAAAAAAAAAAAAAAAAAATTTTGACTTGCATTGATTAAAAAATATTACAGTATTAAAAAGAATCTTCTAATTTTATATATTTTTGTTTGACAATTTTTCTCTTTTTTCTAATGAAAAGAAGGGATATAAAACAAAAGTTAAAGCCTATAGCCACATAATTTATTTCCTTATCTGTGAACAAATTTGAAATATATAATAAAATATAAAATATCAAATATACCAATATGTAAATAAAAAAATAAAAAAATATAAATATGTAAATATGTAAATAAAAAATATAAATATACAAAATATGTAAATAAAATAAATAAATACAGAAGAGAAACAAAAAATAAATAATGCGAAAATCATCGTTGTGTAACAATTAGTTAGTTTCATTCATGATAAGGCACAATACTGAATCATCCAATAAAATTTGATACCCTGGTTAAATTAATGAGAACGAAAGAGTTTTACATGATAGAACAAGCATCTGGTATGTCAATTATACTTGGTTTGTTTGTAATTCCAGCAGTAGCGGTTGATGGACTAGCGACGATGGTAGTTGATTTCATTTTTTTTTTTTTTTTTTGGAAAGAGGTTTGAAATTGATCTTTGAGATAATAAATTTGAAAGAAAGTTTAAATTACGTGAATTTGTGAAATTTACAAGTTTTGGGTATTAGAATACTTTTTAAATATGGATTTTTGATTTTGATGCTGTTGACGAAAAGTTGCAAGCTGAATTTTATACTTTTTTTTTTTTTTGCGAACTAATCTACATTATGACCACAAAATGAAAAGATTACAAGTTCGCCAAATCTAAAATAACCAAATAAACTATTGTTATCTATTGCGTTTCTACATTGATAATTCGTTCTTTTTTTGACGACAAACAATATCAATAACATTTTTCAATTAATGTATACAAACTTAAAAAATTACAATAATATAAAATTTTAATTTCCTATTTTTAGAAACATATAATATCATGTGTACGTAACATTATGAAAGTAGATAAATATTATACTTTTTTTGAGATATGGCAATATGAAGACAGAATGTGCTATGATTTTGAATTCCCATTCATTATGAGGGCCCACTTTTTTTTAGATGCCCACTACTTTTGTATCCACTAGTTTTTTATTACAAAGTTACGAAAATAATTAATTTTTTTTCTTATTTACAAGTACAGTCTAAATGCGACCCTCCTTGGGATCATAGTGAAAAAATTTAAAAATTGCACATTTTAAAGAGGGTGTGCATTTAAAGAGGGTGCATTTAGAGAGAGGCTTGACTGTACTAATTTTTCCATATTAATTCTGTTTGCTTCTTAACATTGTTAATAAGATTATATTGTTCATCAAAATACAGAACCAATAACGCTGTGCATCCTAACTTAATAAAAAGAATTTACATCCGTTGATCATTATTGAATTTTTCATATGATACCACATTTAGTCCAATGACCAATGTTAAGTTTCATGGTAACAACCTCACGGTTCAGTTGTATGGTATGATTGTAAGAATTATTTGATGAATTAACAAGGTGGTGGTGGTTTTTTTTTTTTGTTAGTCAATAAATGCTTTGTTATGTGTGAAAAAGCAATGTTCCTAACACAGAGGTATTTGTTTATCTTGACATACCGAATCTATCAAAAACTTAACAGTAGACCGGGAACATGTTCTTTCATCTTTCCTATAGCATTATAGCAAAAGCTTCAAGTCAAATTCATAGAATACACTTTAAGAGAATAAATAAATATATATATATATATATATTTTAGATTAATAAAAAACAAAATATAATTTATTCATTATAATAAATCCCAGATTTTTTCACGCTAAATTTGAATCATAAATATTTGTGGTTTAAAAGTTATTGAGATTTGAATTCTTTCGATCATCCCCCCTCACATTTGCCATGAAATTTTATTGCAATCACGTGGAAATATATCACGGGATCTCACGACCCTCATTTTCATTACACTATATTAAATTTCATAAAATAAAAAATAACAAAAAAACAACTACTGGATTTTCGCCCAATATTCTTTCCTTGTTTCAAACAAGCTTGGGGTATAATCTTCTGACCTTATAATTCTAAAATTTTTAAAAGCATTACTATTAGGACGAGAAGATTTTGCAACACGGCCATCAAAATCTAAAACTTCATTTTCTAGACGAGTTGGATTATAGACGTCTTTTATGATTTTATCTTCTCCATCTTTGGTTAACATGAAATCTAAGTGACCATTTGATTGATTAATACCGACGACCTAAAAATAAATATTCATATTTAAGTCATTAAATAAAATTCTTAATATTAATAATAATTTAAACAAAGATTACAAATATTGTTAATTACCTTCAAATCCATTGAGACTGTTACACCAACGTTCTTAAATTGTCGTTTATATTTCCATGAATCATTGAGTCTAATGACCTTCGATTTGGCCATTTCAGGAAGAGACATTTGAGCAGAATCACTAATAATCACAAATCAGTTAATATTATTATTGTATTGCAAAACTTTTATAAAATGCGCAATTACGTTAAAATATATTTACCCTGCGATTTGTTTTTCTCCCATTTTTTCCTCAAGTCCGATTCCCCACACTCGTTCATATTCATCGCACTGCAAGCATAAAAATATTAACCTTAGTTTAAAGCATAATTTTATATATAACTTTTGCTCACCTTCCATTCCTTGGGAATTACAGCCTTAAAGTTTTCAAGACTATTCCATTGAATGCTAATTCCAAGAGAAGTGTTGTATCTTAATTTAATGCTCTTTTGGAACCACCGTTGAGAATCTTTAAAAGAATCCGAAGTCCAAAAATCAAATCGAGGACAAACTTTATTGGGGTCAAGTTTGCTGACCTTTTCAGATACACCTGCTTCATAAGGTTCCAATCCTGCATTTATATGTTCTAGTTGAATCCTTGGCGAATCAATTGGTTCTCCGTCATTATCCGAGATCGGAACCATGTCGCAATTCGGTAAAAGGTTCAAAAGACGACCTTTTTGTTCAATTGAAAAACCCATGAAAACTTCAAAATTAAAAAGGTTCTATTGAAGAAGCATTATGTATTAATAATTATTATTTAATAATTCTCATTTTATAAGAAAAATTTGCAATTTTTCTAACGCAAGTTCTTACTTACTTTCAATTGTTTCTTAGCGAGTAAAGATTCGGGGTCAGTAAATAAATTTTGAAGATAATCAATGTCTTCCTTCTTCATCCAAGGACGTTTAATCAATAGCCTTTCAACATACGTATGATAAGGTGGAGCCGGCTCTTTAGGAATGTCAAAAAGGGATTTCTTCATTACTTCCCATTTTGACATATCATCATCAACAATTGTATCGACACTTGCCGTGTCGTCAGATATGTAAATTTCATCGGGAATTATTATGACGTCTTTGCTTGCTTCAATTTCGTAAGCATTTGACTCCTCACTATCCTCTCTCTTCGTTTCCTCTGTTGTATGGTGTTCTTCCTCGTTTCGGGCCCGTTTTGGACGAGTGTTTTTAGAAGCGGGTGAGGTAGTCTTTGTACGTTTTTTTTTTAGGTAAAGACGGTTAAACCTTGTTTCATCTTTTTCAAAAAAAAAAAACTTCTTGAATAGTCACCTCTGTAATTTCGTCTTGGGTTTCGATGCGTTTAAAGCGAGGTGACCTTCTCACCGGTGTCGCGCTATTTATCTTTCTTGGCATGATTTTTTTATTTTCAAAATTTTCGAAATAAACAAAAAATGGGAGATGATGAAAATCAGCATGAGACCAAATTTTGTAACAGTGAAAGTAAAAATATTTGTGGAATTACAGTATGTAGTACACGATAATTTTTTATATTATGACTTATTGTAAATCAATATCGGGTGGCTTTTTTTCTTATCAGTTTGTTTTAAGTAATATTATGTTAAAAAAAATTCCCACACTCAATTATTGAGCGGGGGATATCGGGCATTTTGCAGCTAGATCGTTATCATTTTTGTAGGATCATGTCTATTTTTTTTAATTTTAGATTACTGATCTTTTTTCAAAAAAAAAAAAATTTAAAAAAAAATTTTGACGGAGGGGTCCTCGGAAGGACAATTTGCTAGTCCATGGCCCATATACAGTATAGTTCTTGGGACCAATAAAATTGTATGTTTCTTCATCCTCTTCTTACTAATACTTTAGTAGTTACATTTCCTAATTTGGATGGGCAGACTTATATTTCAAAGATTTTATCTATAGTGACTACTTAAACATAAACGTCATCGTATTAAACCAAATTCACACCACGTGATTAGTAATTTTGGTCTGACCAAAATTCTTACCTTCATAATACTTGTACGAAGTTTATGCGGATTGTGCTGTCAAGCAAGTGCTGGGAGATTTATGACCGGAAGATATAGACATGAGGAATACAGTAAGTTGAATAAATTTTAATTTCTCATTTATTTTTTTTTAGTTTAATGATATATATTTCTTTAATTTCAGAACTTTTATGTAATTTAGATTTAATTATATAAATAGTAAAAGAAAATGCTTTTATGCTAAAAAAGTCAATTGGCTTTGCATTATATCGTTCTTGATCGGATCAACATTTTACGCCTGAAATTCCAAATCTGTGAATTCCAATTTTCATCCTTGGTAAAGAATCTTTCAAGTCACAATCCGAAATAATGAGGAGAAAAGGTCTTATAAATGCTTAATGAAAATTTTGATTATACATACCTACCTATATAGGAGATGATCAAGTTGGCGCTTTTGGGTAAATTTTTTAAAGAAGGGTTTTAGCATAATTATTTATGTGTGGTTTATGGTCTTAAAAAAATTCATTCTCACTTTTTTATTTTAAAATTTTTCTTGTTTAAAAAATAAAACCTAGTTATAAGAGCCGATGAGCAAATAAGACTTAGAATTACAGAACTTGATGAGATAGGTAATGTGCCCTAGTTCGAAAAGATAAATATGAGGAACAAACTCTTGTCAGTGATTTTGTTCATATAGAAGGAAATGCAACTGTCCTATTTTGTGAGTTTTATTGAAGAATCGGAATTACAATCGGCAAGCACAAAAAAAAAAATTCACATAAATAATTACCATCCGATAATGCTATAACTTGGTAATTTCATTTTCAAATATTCCCTTATTTTTTTAATAAATCTTAGCTTTTCTTTCATTATAACTAATAAATTTGTTTGTTTTATTATTCATTCCCCTTAGTCAAATGCTTTTGACACATAATAGAGAAGCCTGCATTACCTTTTACCTGAGATGCTGCCGTAATTCATGATTTTTGGGCGCGTAATTGATCATTTTAATTAGAAAATAGGAAAGTAAAAAATTGTGATGCAATTATTGCACAAAACGAAAGGGCTTCAGGTCAAAAGCTTGACGGATTAAAATTTTGGTAGATAATAGATCGAAACTTTTTTTTTTTGTAAAATTTTGGATTGTGATGGTGGTAGCAATTTTATAAAGGTATTTTTAAAAATTTTAAAAAAGTGAGTGATTTTTTTAAATCTACATAGGCGTCTAATTATTATTTTTTTTTTTTTAAAAAAAAAATTTTTTATTCTTATTAGAGGGCGACGATTTTTTTTTTAAAAAAAAATCTTTGAATTTAATTAAGGATTAAAATTCCAACTTTCCGCTGTTTCCGATCATCATCACGTGATTAGTACGGCCACCATTTTCTTATATTAAAAACAATGTACTTCCGGAATATGAAATACCAATAGATAATGAATTAACGGTAAGGTTTTTATATTTTTAAAAAAAATCACGTATTAAAAACACGAACAACACGAAGTTAAATTATTATTTATTTTTTTTTTTTAGGATACAGAGTTGGTATCTTATTCTCGAGAAGCTATTGATAAAAGAAATTTTAAAAATAGAAAGGTAATAACGGGTTATTAACTCATATTTTATCATCATTTTTTTTTTTTTTTTTTTTTTTTTGTTACATCAATCTTAAGATTATTATCTTTCTTTTTATTTTACTTTATTTTTTTTTTTTTTTAGTAAATACATGACTTATGTTACAGTACCGGAATCTTCTAGTCATTTCTCCATTAGAGTTTGCGCAAGCTCTAAAGCTGATCCAAACTTACTCAAGGGTGTACATTTTGCTGATGGAGAAAATGACAATACACATGTGAAAATAAATCCTATGAACCGAGAGGAACCATATATACCTATATAGACGGTTTCTACAACCACAACAAATCCATCTTTCACCACTTCAAATTTGATCCAGAAAAGTGGATTGATGATAATATATACATTTCGAACATGCCGAAATGTAAACCCTCAAAAAGCACAAAAAATAAAGGTGGATTAGGAGCGATTTCGGTATACATTTATTTATAAAGGCGAAGAGATATCAGAAAAAATGTCTTCTTAGAACAACAACAATCTTCAAAGCCTAGAAATCATTTCACCAGAGGATTTAGCGGACATTATTTTTAATGAGATGCAAAAAGAGCCGTTTATAAATCTAAAGACTCCTCATTCACATCCAGTCGCAAGACTGCACATATTTTATCAAACAAAATTATGGCTAAATAAAAAATATAAAGCAAAAGGATTACCCGTCCCCAAATCGTTATTATTAGAAGAGATCAACAACAAACAGATGGAAATTATAGAAAAAAAATAAAAAAAAATTAAATGTTTTTTATGTTTTTTAATAAACTTGTAATTAGATATTAATAATATTAGAACTTAATTTTAAAGTTATCGAGGAGAGTCACAGAGAATGAACAACTTTGCTAGTTTCATGTATTGGAAACATTCTAAACTAGTTATAATAATTTTTAAAATAAAAATTTTATTCATTATTGATAAATCATTAATTAACAAAATCTTAAGGAGTAACCAATTTATAGATTAAATAATGGTCTTGGCCCTCATTCTGACCAAGATATCCTTTACTAATTTCACCCAAGTAGTTAAAAAAAAAAATTAAGATCTTTAAGAAATCGTAATAATAGATACAAATATTCATACTAAATGTTACCTTTGATTATCGGTTTCGTTATATTTGACCAAACGTTCGCAAATGATGCATAAAGTATACGTGAATCAACAAGTTGCATGCTATAGGGAACGATTTCTAGGTTTGCATTGTTTGCATTGATGTAAGGGCATATATAACTAGGGAACGGGGACCGTTGTTAAGTCCGGAACGATCTTGACTACAAAAAATTCTGTATTAAAGTAATTACTTGTTCTATCACCATGGGCCTTAGCCAAGGCTTGAATAGTATCAGACCCTTGCTTTCATCCAAGCAACAAGATTAAAAAGTTATCTTGTTTATATTCGCTCCGAAATATAAAATGAGTTTGGTAGATTAGATCAGAAAACATTTGCGTGACAATTAACTCTATATAATAATAGTTACTTCATTGACAAAATTGTTCTATAACTCCAAATAAACAAAAGTGGTGATGATTAGAAATATCCCGTGTCAGAGCATTACTTGCATCTGGAAATTAACGAGCCATATTTTACGAGCAATTCTTTGGAAACTAATAAGAAAATTTTCGTTAAATCTGAATCTTGCACAACGGTATAAATACCATTTGCATAAAACGAACGCTGTTATATCCCCTCGTCTACTTTTAAAACTAGGGAATGGTTTCGGAAACCATTGTTAAGTCCGGAGCAAGTGTAACGAAAGGGACCAACCACGTATCGACTCAAATTTTGAGCGGGCGGACAGCGCGACATCCGTATCACCTTGCATAGACATATATAGTCCTTCGCTTCGCTCCGGACTAAAAAAAAAATTATGTTATTTTTTGTGTAAGAAAAATTTCAATTAAAGGTCAAAAAAAAAAAAAGGTCGAACCATCCAATAAGCTTCCAAACTATCGATGCTCAAATATCCTTTGTCCACTAAAACGTTCCCGATACGCTTTCAAAGTTCCAAATTACCAAATGTTTGATACACAGCATTAACTTTACAATTTCAGGGAAATCTTCTTCCATATGAGCATAAGTACACTTTAGTAAATTTTAACATTACTATATCCTCTTCCATTTGAAACAAACATAAATTTTAGTAAAGTTTTTGAAGTCATTTAAAATTCTGATGTCATAAGTACCTTTTCTGTCCACATGACTTTGCAATAATTAAAACCAATATTAATTCGATAGTTGTTGCTGATGATGTAGCAGTACGCGTAGTTGAAGTTGAAAGGCAAGAATTAGTGTAACAAATACAAAAAATTAAATTTGAAAATTTAAGGTGATAATATTGAAGTAATCTTACATACTCGCCCAAAGCTAATCGAGAACTTACATATCGGAAAGCAAAGATAATCAAGCTACATTTGATGCATGAATATTGAAAATATATTCAATATAATGCAACGTAATAATACTAAAAATTCTACATTCTTTAGTTCCTCTCAATTTCAACGATATTACCGGAAAGAAGTTGATCTCCAACTTTCAAGGATCGTCTAAAATAGCAAATTAATTAATTACGAATAATATACATGTTGAATATGATAATCATAAATTACGTACTCACGACGATTTTTGACGACTTATCGATGTCAGAAGATATGTTAAAAGATTTTGTATCGCGTAATGTTGATGTTTTAGTTGAAGAAACTCCTGTAAGTTAAATGCGTTTTAAGATAACATATTTCTAATCACAATTTGCCTAAAATTCGCTATAACTAAATTAGTTCTACTCACATTTCTTGAATTATGACGCCTTCTAAAACCTACTACGTTTGTGATCCAATTTTTTGAGCTAAATGATGTCGGTACATTAATGATAAACTCTCTGTTGTCCATCATACATATCAGCAACTTCCATCTCCACCGCCTAGCTCAGTAAAAGCGAAGCATTCCAACAATGTGAAGATTGTCGGCGCCAGGAATAATATTCAGTTCCAAATAGAATAACGGTTTCACCAAAAAAGGTCTCACCTACATTATAAATTGTTTTTATTCAATGATATATGAAAACACAATTTATTAAGATAAAGCGTAAATACCTTTGGTTTTATCTATCTCTATGCTGAGATATAGAATTGCTTATTAAATAAAATAACTGAAAAGGTAATTTTTATTAAGAATTGAGAAAGCAAACTAACTGTAAATAGAAATAGAAAAGGCGGGGTAAAATCTCCAATTACCAAAATCAGAACACGAAGATCTTTTAAATTAATCAGTAAGCGTTTAACTTGCTCAACCACAAAGGTCAACCGTTTGTAATGTTCGGCAATTTCAGCAGCGATCGTTAGTAACGTCAAGAATTCTAAAGGAGTAGAATATTTCCACTATCAGGCATTCCTTCCTCCAAAAAACTTAACAGCAAATATCGACATTATTAGTTTCCAACTGAGATTACTGCTCTACTAAATGAGCATCAAACTCTTCGTCTATGTCGCTGAGGATTCTTTTTAATGTAATCGAGAACCAAACGTTGTTTCCGAGCAGTAGTGTGCGTCAAAGTTCTAAACTATGCGGATTCTTCGTAATAACACGTAATTTTAACATTTCGAAGATTGGAGAAAATTTTCTAAGTTGTGTGCGGTTCAACATGCTGTGTCATATACTAAATTCAAATTGATCATCTTTATCCTTACAATACATATTGGTCATTATTTATTCCCGAAGAGAATATAATCGAACTCCTAAATAGAATACGGAAGAGGCAGAGCCTGTGAATGATCATGTTATTGATGAATTATATTGAAAAGAGCATTCCAACTTAGTATTTATTGGATATGTATGTCTGATAATATCCTGTAAGTATCATTTAGAGAGACGGTCTTTAATTTATTTCTGTAAATACTAATTAACATTTATATGAAAAAGGTTTAGGAATGGTTGATCAGAATACTATGGATAAACACGGACATGGTATTTATCATGGGTGATACAAAGAAGGAAGAACGTGCAAAGGTATCTTACTTATATCAAATACATTTATCATATTTATTTTGTATTTATTCCAATTGTCTTTTATTTTTACAGGGAAATACAAGTAGAATGTGCGTGCTTATTTTGAAACAAATAATACACCATGTATGCTCGAATAAAACGCGTGGAATATAAATTTATACTCTTCTTGATAAAATTTCTTAGTTGATTTTGAGATATGCTAAAAAACGAATTTTCCTTTGAATGACGATGCCTCGGAGCTCAGATCACGTAGAATATCTTTAGCAGACTCAAACACGAAGTGTTTCTGTAGGTTGTAACGCTCCTGTTAAAGTCGCTAGCTCTGGTAGTCAAACGTGTCAACTTCAAGTCAAAGAAACTCGATTAAGCCTTTGAATGTAGTCACCCCTATTCAAAAGATACCAGATGAACAAATGTATTCTAATTTAAAGAATGGCAACCGACAACGTAAATTATTCTATTTTTATCCCTCTTCATTTTACTACAAATTTAAGCTAAATAAAATAAAAAATTTTTTTTTCTTATTAGAAAATTAATGCTAACAATAGTTGGAGATTAAATTAATCATGAGATGACACTATTGAAAGAAGGCGATTCTATAAATTTTCAAAAGGCTTCACGTATATTGGATGGATGTATAAAGATTTACACTTCACGCGTTGATTCTGTAGCAACAGAAACAGGTAATATTATTTTTATTTATTATGCCTTTATTTTAGTTTTTAAGATCAATACTAACATGATATACATAATTCAAAGAAATAACGATGATAACGATGATAACGATGATAACGATGGAGATGGTGATGTTGATCAGAAAGACGTACTCTTAAAAGGTTAAGAATATTATTACATGTGATGTTGTTAAAAATTAAATATTAATGTGAATTATTTATAGACTACGACATTGGCTAAAGATTATAATGCATTGACCGTAAAGAAGTTTGACTTAGAATTCTCAATTGATCCTCTTTTTAAAAAAAACTTTTGAAGATAAGGATGAAAAAGGCAAAAATAAGGTTTCTTCAGAAGATGATAACCAAGCAATACTAAACATCGTTGTGTGTATAATTATCGGATTTTCAAATATTGATTATTTTATTTATTAATTTAATAAATTTATTATTTCTTAATAGCAAAAGTTTCTCACAGAACTCCAACAAATATTCAACAAGGATATTTGTCCTTCATTGAAAGATTTTAAGTTTTCAAGAGAATAATAGCATTCTAGATGTTGATTGTATGATGATGATAAAGGAGTTGATAGAAATGACGATGATGAAGGTGCTGGTATAAATTCGGGAGTATTCGATGAAGTCGACATGAATCCACATGTGCGATTGACAGAAAGATTTTGTCATGGCTATGGTCAGTAAAGAAAACGAATTGTATAATTACTTTGACTCTGCGTTCTTACGTAATTGGGCGTTGGAAGTTAAAATAACAAATAAAGGTAATTAAATATCTGTTTTGTTTATTTTTAAAGTTACAAATTTTTTATATTGTAAATTTATTATTTAATTTATAAAATAGATGAATTACAAAATTGAAGGAGAGACAAGGGAGAGAAATAAAAGGAATCAGATTCTGTTACTTTTATTGGATCAGAAGATATGGATGAGCGAATCATTTTTGCACCTGGGATAAATGAGCCCAAGTTAGCTGAGAAAGTATTACATGGTCACCTATTTCCCGACGATATGCATTTTCAAAGCAATTAATTCAACTATTCTTAAAACCTAATTTATGGTAATTATTTTGCTTATAAATTTTCCTTTGAATACATGAGTTTAATATTTTTGTACGAAATATACACTTTGATTGTATTATATTTTTTTCGTAGCTTAACTCGAAACACCAATATAAAGCACGGTTCCGATGATGGTAATTACACTCGAGTCGTTTTTATAAAAATTCTTGTTAGGAATTAATAAGAATTTTTATTTATTCAGAAGCTTTTTACCAATAAAATCTGATTGACAAACGAATATAAAAAGCGCATCTCCGTCTAATGCCTTCTGTATAAATCGTCAAGAATTATGACTAAGGAAACATTTTGGTTTTCGCGTTTTACGTGTGAAAACAGAGAAAAAAGAAGAAATGCCGTGCTAGTTGCTTATACATTATTGGTTACTCATGATACATGTTTGAATCCAAGGAACTAGTAAGATTTTTTGCAATATTATCTTTTGTTTTATTTGATCGACTTTTTTTTTTTTTTTTTTTTATTATTATTACATAAAGTGATAAAATAGATCTTTAACTTTTTAAATTGATATTTAGCTATCTACACTACTGGAGATGGTTTTACAACGATTATGATTATGATGACGACTTAGAGGGCGAATTTGGTGATAATTTGGTAATTCAGACAGAGATAAAGAAACCCGAGTTTATCAAATACGCCAAGGTAGCAAAAAGAACCGATGTTAAAACTTTTTTCAGGAGTTATTTGTGATCTAATCCTCAGAGAGATGAAAGATATTTCGGTACCGTTATGTTTTGTTAGTTTATTACATTTAGCAAACGAGAAAGGTCTGGAAATTTCAAAATAATGATCAATTAACGGATTACATATTGTTAATTAAATTTTTGTTTCCAAATTTGGAATTTCATTGGTCGTTTAAAAACCATATATTTATGATTCAATCAAAAATGTAGGCCTTAAATGACGCTAGGTTTTATTTGTATATTTTTTTTTATTTAAAGAATGTTGTACATAGAAAGGTCATTGTAAATCAAATGCGCGAGCCGTTATAAACGCTCTTATTAACAACAGAATATCAGATGCTTCCGCGTCACATGATACAATAAGTTTAGATCTATAAAATCGCTGTCTCCTTTTGTTCAGTGACAAGGTACGCAGGGAAAATCCAGTATAGCATATATTAGGAAAAAAAACTGAAAATCTAGCTTAAATAATATTTTCAATAAGTATAAACTGTCCTTTGAATTAAATTTTTTAACGAATTCGTGATATTTCTGTAAAAACGACTCTGAATTCAAATGTCTATAGTAATAATAAGTGACAAAATTTTTTTTTTTCAATAGAAATTTGTACAACGATTCATACCATACCCTTTTTATTAAAGGTACTAGAATAATTTACATTTAAAAGTTGAAAGATGAGTTAATCAAAGTGTTAATAAATATGAGAATAATTTATAAGTCAAAATTTTTTAAATGCGCTATACCTTATAACATTCTTAAATTAATAAAGCTCTCTCACGTAAAATAAAGATCCACACAAGCTTTACCGGTATATTGTGATTCCCATTTAGCGACTCTCCAATCTTCATGATCCTTAATAGCAATAACGGCGCCCACCCCATTTTTATACGTTAACAAATTGTATTTAAATTCGAACTTAAATTTTTTCATAATAGTCTGAACTATATCTTCAAGTCTGATTTTTAGTGGTACGATAACTCCTCCGCGTTCTCCGAACATGGTAAACTTTACCAAATACTGTAAAAGATATTATGCCTAAATAAATAAATTTTTTTAATATGAAATCGAAAAAGAAGAACCTTTATCATACCTCTTCATCAGATTCGTCAGGGTCGTCCTAATAATGACCATTTTACAAATCTTTTAGTGAAAAAGATCTTTAATTTATAATAAATTAATACTTAAGACTCATACATTGATTCCCGGCCTTGTACGGGTTGGTATAGATATATCGTTTCTGTACTTTCCAATGAGGTTGTCAATTACAATCAAACATGACATGTTGACATTTTGTCGTGGTATAATAATCAATGCTGTTGCTTCTTCTAACAAACCGTTAGTTGGATCTGTTTTAATCTCAACGCCGTTTTGATAATACTTTTGTTACACATTAAATAAAAAGGTGGTTAGTTTTGATGGATCGAGATTAATTTAATTTACTATCAAAATATTTACCCTTCTGTTAAAGTTGGGTAAGAGTGAGATTTCTAGTTCTTTGTATTCTGCAATTCTGTATCCTGTAAACTAAAAAAACGTTCCCCTTTGAGAAATTTACAATAAACAACCAAATGAGGGTTACGCAGTTACATACCTGGTCGTACGGGATGAAAACTTCATTCTTTAAAGCGTTCAACCACAGACTCATTTCATGAGTAGAATGATGAAAACGTACGGCCATATGGTCATCATCAAAAGTACCGGATGTAGGTTTAATTTTAATCTGTTTACAATCCAAACGAAAGTAATCTTTTTGCTTAGTATTGGATGGACCTAATAATTGTTATTTTAACATGAAAAATTAATTTTTATGTGTTTACATTAAAGTTTTGCAAACAAAGGAAATTATAATTTACCTGGCTTTGCGCTTTTACCGCTACTTGCGCTAGTAGTATTATCACTTTTTCGATCACTCATTCTTCGATCACTCTTAGAAAAAGAAACAAAGAGAAAGTAACGTTCTCATTCTTCAGCCGCATTTTCCAGGTTTATATTAGGCTGTTGGGGAAGTACAAGATTTTTTTTTTTGTTTTTCTGTTATCGATCATTTTTTGCTAAAAAAAGGTTATATTAAAAAAAAAATATGTAACATTGCAAATCAGCCTGATTCTTATATTTGATTAGAGTTCTTGTTTTATAGTCATGATTGACCAAAAAGAGACCCTCCAAACGTGGAATAATTATATAATCAGGATCAGGATCATCATCATGCTGCATATTTATCATGAACTCGTACACCTCGAAATTTGTATAAATTTTTTTTGATATGATGAGGAAATTTTTTAACCAGAAGGTCATCTTGTTGACTAAGCACCTAGAAGTATAAAAATTTTTAAAAAAAAAAAAAATTAAATCCAGCGATTATAAATAAATAAATATAGTGTATTCAAAATTGATTGTGAAAAAGACGTAGAATTTTTTGGTACTAATGCTAAAGTTTTATTGTCACATTGATGATCAACAAGTTTGGTAAAATGTATTTCTCCTGTATTCTTTCTAAGGTAAAAGTTGACACACAGTTTGTTTTACTAGAAGTTGTATCACGATGTTCAACATGTGTGTTACACACGGCGCCGAACAATCGTTTATCAATAGGATCTTTGCGAAGCTTAATAATAACAAACCATGATATTTTGCATACGCTTCAACGGCACATTGAACCAAATTCCAATCCTTAAATGAATCAACATGTAATTCATTTATATCAGAATGTATAAATTCTTCTTCTTCTGTAACAGAATTATTTACAGTATCTTCTTCCATCTTCCATATCGGAATGAATAATATTCTGTTTATTTGGTCCGGTTTGATGAAATGTAATAAGAAATTCATCATGCGACATTACGAAATGTTACTTGAGTTTCATGTATGTCAAAGAACACAAAGTTTAAAATCAGATAAATTAAACGCAATGAACGCATTACGCTTGTTTCATACAATTTAGAACAAAAGTTTAAGGATTTGTATTTTTTTTTTCTAATTAAAAAAAAAATGATTTCATTAAAAGATTCAATTGACCCTCATAAACAAATTTTTTATTTTCTCTTTAATCACAAAAAAAAGATAATGTCTTCATTAAATACTAAATCTCCTACTGATTTCATTATCGAAGTGGTCAACCGTTTCAGTACGGCTTCTTTGGATAAGAATTCAAAATTTAAAATGATAATGAAGCATGCTTCATTGAAGAATAATTATTCGGCGTTCAGATCCGAACACTGTGATCCTCTTTGAAAATTTTGGGGATATTTCTGGAGGAGGTGGAATTGTTGAAGGAATTACAAAATTTACTCCAAGGAACACCTTCCTCAACTTCCATCGTATTTAGTTTTTATTTTTGATGCGTCTCGACATTACAATTCTATTAAATTAGATATCTCTGTTATTATTGTATATAGACAATTAAAATTATAAAAAAATTCTTTAACCGTAACCCTTCGTAGTAGTAAAAAGCACATTCAAAAACAATTCAGGTCATTTAAAAACGCATTATAATCACAAATTTTTTTTTTAATTGTATTTAGTTAGGTTTATTAGCCTTTAGTTTTTGTCAATAAAATAGTACCTTCCGCACCAACAGAAAAATTCAAATGTAAATTATTTATTTATTTGATGGAATTGTTACCGCAGCAAATAAATCATCCTTTCTAAAAAAAAAAAAATATATTTTCTAAAAATTGGTATCACGTGGTAATTCGAGACCCGTCTATGTTCTTTATCATGTGCCATCACTTCTATATACTAAAATTTTCATATATCGAGTTCTCTATCTAACTCCCTAAAATTAATTTGTAGTGTCTGCCAAAATTAACTGATTTTTAAGTGTCCTGATTTATATCGTGTAAGTATATTTGGCAATTGGACACGATTTACACCACAAAAGGATAATCGAAGGGTTCATAATCGATTCGTCCAGTAGTCGATAATTTGTTGATTCTACAAATCGAATGACAAACATCCGGAATACCCGTCTGATGATGAGTCCTTTAAGCAAAAAAGAATCATTAGAACTTGATTTAACGATCCTCAAAAAAATGAAAGAAAATTCTCATACCATTTAGGAAGACCATATTGACAGCTAGCAATTGCAAAGTTTCCTTTAAACAAAAACAAGGTGTTCATATCGTAAAAATTGACACCACCACATCCTACAATATAGGCGACAATGGCGTCTAGAGTTTGACCATAAACGCCATTACGACAATTTGGCATCGTGGTGTCATTGAATCCTTGATGATTCCATTGAATGAAGATGGCAGTGTCATCGACATTCATCTGTTTTATCGCTTGAAGAATCAAAGCGGCGTTATTTTCGTTTTGTAGGAAAGTTGGGAGAGCGAACGGTTCTAAATTAAAAAAAAAGTTATTTCGTTCAGATCTTTTTACACTTACAGAAATATCATTTGTTCCTTTGTCAATATTTACTTACCAACTCCCATTTTCTCGGTGAGTTTTTCCACTTTAGATTTTTTATCAGTTTTAAAAATTCGCTTTGGGTTAAACTTTTCCATGATGTTTTTCGTGATAACGATTTGTAAGTTTGAAATAGGTTTGAGGTTTCAAGAAGAGGGAAACATGATTTAGTAAGTTTAAATATCCTTATTTTTTTAAATCAATAATAGTGATTTAGTTGATATTCAATGACAAAAAAATGGATTCTTTATCAAATTTTACCGACAATGGAACATGAAAACCGGATTTTTCACGGAATCTTATAAAATTTTACCGGCTATAAATTTTATTAGTAAAAAAAAAAAAAAACCATTCTTCATTTACTTAAGATAAATCTTTTTTTAAATCAATTGTATCTGTCAAACCGGGTGAATAATCTTGGATAATAATTTAATTTTTATATTTTTAAAATTTGTACTATTGATTGAAATCCAAAAACGCTTCACAAATATTTTTAAGTTTTTTTTTTTTGATAAATAATCAATTCTTGTTCATAATATATCTTGAATTCTTGGATTTATGGGATAATTGCCGGGAAAATCGGGTTCCGAAAATCAAAACTTATTGGATCCTAATCTATTTATGTCAATAAAAAAAAAAAATACAACTTATTGTTAACGTTAATTTTTCTAACAATCGAACATACCATATGGGGATAATTATATGGCAAACGTGAGCTTACAAAGGTTCCAGGATTATAGTTTCCCCGAGTGTTACAGAAAATATGCTTCCGAAAATTTCTCGTTAACGGGATTCTCAAATGAAAGCTTTATTTTTTTTTTCCTTTTGATTAAGATTTACGCCTAAGAGTATCATTATAATGTTTCGAAATTTTATTGTATCGACATTCACCAATATTAAGCATTAAATTTTGTTTAAATTAAAAACTTCGATTCGTGTAAACCAATTATAAGTTACAATGTATATGTTAAGAATTAATTATTTTAGGATTCAGGATAAGAGCGTTCATTACAAGTACTTTCGATTGTCCTGAACCGTTCATGGTTCATAAATTACAACACGTTGGCACTATCTTTAACGAGTATGCATGTGTCATTTTAATAAATAAATTATTAAGTTGCCAAGAAAAGTAGAAAATCTACTCTTTGTCACTTTATTCATTATATCAGAACTTTGTTAATACATATTTAAAATTCGGGATATCTTATATAAAAAAATGTACAATACGTAAACTTAAATATATATATATTATAAAAAATTTAAACGATAAAATAATATAAATTTTTTTTTAAAAAAAAAGCTAATCTGATAATTTTTGAAGCTAATAAAAAAAAATTTTTTAAAATAATTCGAATGATCCAAACTGATCATAATGAGTTGTAGTTAGCTTTTTGATACCACGCCCACGCTTTGTCAGTGTTTTGCTTTACACCTTTACCATGCAAATAACAATCTCCCGTAGGTAAAAACGCCAACTTATATCCTCCTTCGGCGGATCTTAAGTACCATTTGAATGACTTCTTTTCATTTTTATCTGTTCCGATACCATACCGATAGCAATTTCCCAACGAAAATTGTGCAGCACCGTTTCCTTGCTTTGCAGCAAGCATGTACCATTCGAACGCGCTCTCTTCGTCTTTGTCAAAATAGCATAGGAGGCCCATTCGATGTTGGGCTTCTGCATATCCATAATGAGCGGCCGTATAATACCAATCCACCGCTTCTTCTTTGTCTACACGAGTTCCCATACCGTATTCGTAACAATTTCCTAACATCCATTGCGAATTAATAACTCCTTCTTCCGCAGAAATTTGATACCATTCGAATGCCTTTCGTAGGTTGACGGTGGTTCCTATGCCATTTCTGTAACATTCGGCTGTTATAAATTGGGAGATGATAAACCCCCCTTCCGCAGAGACCTTGTACCATAGAAACGCTTTGTGTTCATCCTTGTGAGTTCCCTTCCCGAATATGTAGCACTGGGCCAATGAATATTGTGCGTTAATAAATCCTCCTCTTGCAGAATTATAGAACCATTTAAACGCCTTGTTATAGTTTATATCGATTCCTTTTCCTTGTTGATAACATATAGCTATGACGTATTGGGCCACTGCGTTCCCACTTTCTGCAAGTCTTAAAAAAAATTTAAACACCTCAGTCGGTACTTCATTATTATTAGACATCTTTATGTATTTTTTTTTTTTTTTTAAGAGAGTAAAGAGTTCAAAGTGTATTTTGTAGAAGGGTTATGGTTCAAAGAATTTTTTCGCGTCTTTTATAAGAGTTGATTTTGCATTGTCAAATGAAAAATAATAATTCCAAATTTAGACTTTACAAAAATTGATGAATTGTATATTAATTTTTTTTTTTTATTTCAATTCTAATTTCAATTTATTTTATATACACTATACGGTACAATGTAATTTTCAATTATTTACATAAAAAAAAAAAAAAAAAAAAAAAAATTTTTTTTTGTTTGTATATGTCGTACCGATTACCCGACTTTTTTAATGATCTCAAAATGGAAACAAAAGAAATTTTTCTTGGTATCCATAACCGCATTTAATCCGAAAAAAAAAAATATCTTCATAAACGATACTAATGAAATGAAGTCTAGACCTTATAGATATAATAAATTCATGAGCTTGCTTGCGGATAACAATTTAGAGACAAATTTTGTTATGAGACGATAAAAAAAAAAAAAAGAATGCATTGAAAAAAAGCTTTGGGAAAAAAAAAAAGATTGTTATGATTGTAATACATAATCGTTGTTATTGAATTAAAAACCTTTTTCATTCAAAAAATGTGGTGTAATTAATAAAAATAGTGTAACAAACTCTGACTATATTTATGGTGATCTTCTTACGTAGGCCGTGACTAATTTAATAGTCAAACATAAGATGAAAACAAGTTCCGACGCACAACTGGTTTGTTTTAGAACTTTATAGAATGCAATTCATAATTACGAAACATTAAAGGGGTAGATTCTTTATTCTTATAATGCAATCCTTATTTTATTCGTGAGAATTTTTTTTTTTTCATACATTTGAAAACTTGATTCTTTTATTTGGGTTCAAGATTTCATTGATTAGCGGTTAACGGTGTTATCATTCCGATCATGCTCCTATGCGAATAATAAATTTTATTTTAATGTATTTGGGGGAGTATTGTTCATAAAAGGTCAAATATTTGAAAACTTGATTTTTTTATTTAGGTTTAAGATTTCATTGATTAGATTTTATTTTATTTTATTTTTATTGTTTGGGTTTCTCCTGAGTATTATTCATAAAAGGTCTTTTATTTGGGTTTCAGATTTCATTGATTAGCGGTATTTTCATTCCTTCTATGCGAAACCATCTCAATTTTATTTTACTCTATTATTTGTTTTGTGGCATTGTCATAAAAGGAAATATCATAGACTCGGAAGATATTTTATCTATTACTCAAGTATGATTGGTTCGTATTGTTATTCTTCGTGATCCTTTTCACTATTCTGAATTCTGTAGTATGCTTTAAAGTAAGCCGAGTCTTTAAAGTCTAAATTTGTAAAGGATGGTCCATCAATTCCAAAGGGTTCAACGTCTGTTCAAACATCTAATATCGATAACAGAAATGTTAACGATTGCAGTGAATATAATTTCAGCCACATATTTGCTGCGCAATATGTAAAAAAGCATCTCATGTTCGCGAAGAATAAAAAATCAAAAAATTTAATGATATTTCTAACGTTAAGCATGTAGCATAATTTTTTTTAAAAAATAAATGGTTAATCCGTTAAGGATTTTAAAATGTTTCACCTATTATGGATTGTAAAATTCTATCTTGCAACATTTGAATAGAATTCTTTATCAAAAAGTTGATCAAAATCGAGTTTCGCAGATCATCCGAATTTTATTTGGTCAATAAAATTATCAATTGCACGTTTAATTGCTGACTCGTTAAATTTTTTTTTTTTTTTTTTACATTTCACAAGCTTATCTGCGGATAATGATTAATGATTTAGGGACAATTCAAATGCATGTTATGTACCCATGAGAAAAAAAAATATATATATGAAAAAATTGGGAAAAACAAAAATGGTTCATTATCCTGATATTCATGCAGTGCAAATATTCTAGCATATAAATGAAATAGTACATATCAAATGATGAGCATTGTGTAACTGTGTAACGTAATTCTCAAAATCTGATGGACGAGACCTGGTTTTATATGGTGATGTCGTTCGCGACTAAATAAATCTGATTATGAAGTAGTCTAGCATGAGAAATTGCTTAAAGTTCCGATGTACAACTGATTTGTTTTGAAAAGGCTTATGAATGAGTTCATATGATTAGGATGAATACGGAACTTTAAAAGGTAAATTCTTTATTCTTGTCATTTGAATTTAGTAAGTAATGCAATGACCTATGATGCATTTTACTGTGAAATTCTTTCTTTATAGAAATTAATTACTTTGAAAACTTGATATTTTTATTTGTGTCAATATTTAAGTGCATATTAATTAATAATGGATACGGTACTTATGGAAACTTCTTCATAATCATTAATAATCATGTTTATGTTTAAGTTTTTTTTTTTTTGATTGTTTGGGGCTTTTATCTTAGTATTGTTCAAAAAAAAGGTATATTGAAGCTGACTATGAAATGCAGGTTTCGGTTTCAAGATGATTAATAATTAACACAAATATATTGAATAATTATTTTGTATCTATTTTTCCACATCGAGAGTTAAACTTGTTTATTAAAAAAAAAAAAAAATGATTATTTGTGTATATTTTTAAATTAAAGTATAATATCAATACAATATAATTCACGGATCTCTTTGACCGATGGCTGAAAATCAACAAATCAAGAAGTTCAACGCTTTACGCTCATTTGGTTCATAAATGGGAATTTCGTTAT